AAATGAAATGAACTCCCTCATTTACTAGCACGCCTACTTATTTTTTTTCTTTGTGCCTTTGAATTGAAAACTCTTCCTATCTCATGTACTCAGGCAGTTGCTGGACTATCTCATGTATTTCAGAAGTGGGTGTGGTTATGGCTACCCACAATCACATAATATTGTTCAAAAAATACTGATTCTATTTGATTTGATTGTTAAGAACAACTAATAATTAATAGAACAATTAATATTTGTTACTTAATAAATTAAAATCAGTTTATAAACTGATAATTTCAGACATCATGACCAATTGTTTCAAAAAAATATGACAAATATCAATCAAACTGAATAAAGTCTTGTGTGGCCATAACCATGCCCTTCAGAAGCTGCTGTGACGTTTTTCCATAAAATTTCAGCTTTCATTTTTTTTGTCTGTCATGTTGAATGTTAAACTTACTCTATGATTGAAGAGAAGGTATCCCGGATAGTTTGTTGCTTTTTACGTGCTCCATCTTATTGTGGAGCTTGATCTAGATCATAGGATATCATCCTATCAAGCCCTAGTGTTTAGCCTGAATCTATCTATAAGGTTATGGTTTCTTCCTATTACCATATGTCTATAACTCAAATTTCTTATCAAATTAGTCTTTTTTTTTCATGATGTAGTGTCTATGGTGAACCTATTCCTGTGAAGGAACTTGCTGAACGTGTAGCAAGTTATGTGCACTTATGCACACTCTACTGGTGGCTCAGGTGTGTTATTACTTAAATGTTCTCTTGAAATTTTACATCTCTCTTTATTTAGTTTAGATGTAAAATTTTAAAAGTACTTACTGCTGCAGGCCCATTTGGATGTGGGGTAATTCTTGGAGGTTATGATAGAGAGGGACCTCAATTATATATGGTTGAACCATCTGGTATCTCCTATGTAAGTTTATTTGTCCCAGTTATGGATTTACTTTTCATTTGTGGAATGACTCTTTGGGTATTATTTATATTCATCCCTTATACATAATGTTATATTGATGTGGTCGAATTTTTATTCTTTATTATTATTATTTTTTATTTGGACTTCTTCTGGCTTACGTTGTTGATTGATAATTTGATGTAGAGGTACTTTGGGGCTGCAATTGGGAAGGGAAAGCAAGCAGCGAAAACATAAGTTGGTTTTTGTTTTTTTCTTTCGTATGGGAACATTTGATAAAATGATTATTGCAGTCCTTCAAAATCCATTTTTGGAGGATTGTTGAAATCTTAATTGTGGTTGCCTTCTCAACATAATCTGATGCTCAGTTCATCCACTTAAAAAGATGTCCTTTGAATCCTTTCCCTCTGTGAAACCCCTACGTAAGTCAATTATAATACTTCCTATGTGCTTTCCCTGTGACCTGTGTGGAAGCCCAACTTAGTCAATTTAGACCCTTCCAACACATCTATCAATTTCTCGAGCAAGTGAATTTATGCATTGTTTCTTTGTAAAGAAAAAGATCAATGATAGAAATTTGAATTTTGTTTAAGAAAAGAAGAGGATAAGAAATGGTAGGGAGCTAGATGCAGTGAAGTAGATGACAATCATGTCCATTTGCAGATTCAGTTCCTCTCATTTGTTCATTCGTAACTGAGGTTAAATAACTAATTTATTATGGTCAAACGGACATTTGTGAACAGAGAAATTGAAAAGTTGAAGCTCTCTGAAATGACATGCAGAGAGGGAGTTATTGAAGTTGCCAAAATGTGAGTATGCTTTATCTTCTTTCTTTTTCTTTTCTCTCTTTTCTTGTTTTTCCTGTAATATGCTTGCATTTAGATGGATTTCCTGTATTCAAGAGTTTGTCTTTCAAGGTAGTTTTAGATTCATTTTGTGTGTTATTCTTGGGCAGCATCTACAAGGTACCTGACGAGGCAAAGGACAAGGCCTTTGAATTGGATATGAGTTGGGTCTGTGACGAGTCCAAGAAACAACATGAAAAGGTGATATCTGATACTCTTTTGGAAAAGCATTTTCGTAACGTTTCCATCTAATCTAGAACAGTAGAGGTCCTAGTCCTACAGGAGAAAAGAGCTTTGGTTAATTTGGGTGAAGCACGTTACTCTGTCTCCCCCCTTCTGGATCCAGAGAATATTAGTCTTTTACTAATACCTCTCGACGTGTAGTTACTTCATTTTCGTCCTCGGTGCTCACATCTTTTCATATGCAGATATTTCAACGTTGAACCTGTTTTCCCCCATTTCTCTCTCTTTGCCCACGTTATGTATTAGATTAGTTTGAAGTATTGCTGTAATTTTCATTCCACTGTATCTTTTCCTTTGGCAATCTTTCAGGTTCCTGACGCACTGTTAGAGGAAGCGAAGGCTGCTGCGAGAGCTGCACTGGAAGAAATGGATGCTGATTAAGTTTTACCGAGAGCTTGTAATCCTCATGTTTTGATCTTCGAATCTTCACATATTTCCCGTTGTCAAGAAGCTAATGCTGATGGTTTTATGTGTGAATGAATTCAATGCTCAAACTCGTTTCCCCATATTATATTTATCTCTTTGTTTTAGGAATGTACTCTGAATTTGACATAGATCCAATATCAAGAATCATCAGTTGCAAAACAAACATGGATATCGTTCTTACGTTTGACATACATATACCTTTTTGGTAATTACTCCATAAACAGATACAATAGTATTGCTTAAAAATTGAAATTTCCAACACGAGAAAATTACTTCACACAATATTTCAGTATGCATCATCATATACAAATTTAAAATAGTTGTACTCGATTATAAGATAGATTAAAAAGACTAAAGGTACATTTATTTCAGCCAGAACACGAACATCATGTTCTGATGTGTTCTATACATCTTCAACCCCTGACTTGATGAAGCATAGTCGGCAACATCTCACCTTCAGTCACCTGAATTTGGGAAAAGGTAGATAATTAATGTTTCATGTCAAACTAGACCATTAATCAAGCCTATAAAATAATCAAATTGAAATGCATAAATTAAACCTATAAAATAACTAACCCTTTTGAGAGATTTTGTTGGAATGAAATAAAATTACTCCATGAATAGCAAGTTTTGAACATAAATAAATAGAGTCAATGGACACAACACAAAGATAGAGAGCGGTTTAATAATTACAAGCACCTACCTAGCTAAGCTGAGTGCTGGAAGCTGCAGCAGGAGGAGCATCACCGACAAGCTTGAACTCCTGGACCTCCTTGAAATTCAACCAAGGCTTCTCCCAGACCTTAGCTTCGTAGACTTTCTTCTTATCACCATCCATTGCCTCCAAGGTTATATAATACATCATTCCAGAAACCACCTGCTCCTTTGCATTCACCACTTTCTTATATTCCAAAGCCGAATTCTGTACAATCATCAAAAACACAAGCACAACATTAATCTAGGGAAAATCAAATACTTACTTCCTATTCGAGCATATCTTTAATTAACTCATTATAAGAGAAACATAATCTACCAATAAGAACAGAAAAACAGATCATATATATCTCCAGTCAACGGCGTCCATTTAAAGTCAAATCCAGCATCCACACAAAATAATTGTATAAATAAACTCTAGAATCGCAGGTTTGCTTTGGATCGATAAAGATATTTTCTAGGCAACCAAACAGAAATCAAATAATAAACAAGAAAAAAAAAACAAAAAAAAAAAAAAACAAACCTCCTTCTTGTTGTGCTCAGCGACTGCGAATCGAGCAAGATTTTCGATCTTCACACTGTTGGCACTTCCTTCAACCTCCTTAACACCTCCGGGCATCGCCATTTTTTTTTTCTCTCTAAACGTAGAATCCGATCTGATTTTCTCTGATAATTATTGCTTCCCCGATGTAACTTTATCTGGTTTTATAGGCGGCCCACCCAGGAAATGATGAAGGCAGAATTATTTATTTATTTATTTATTGCTAGAGAATAAAAAGGTAATTAATTAAGAGTTTGAAAATTCAGAGATCTGATTTTTAGTCAAATTTTGGCGCAGCCAATGGGAGACAAGTCTTGGCTTCTTATCTGCCAGCCTGTCTTCGACTCTCCAATAAGTTGTTTTAAAACGCTCTTTTGACTTTGATTCGGTGGGCGTGATGGCGTAAGAAAAAGTT